CAGCTCCGGCTTTCACCTCGGCTCAGTCGAGCCGAGTCATATGCCTTCGGCTCGACTGAGCCACTTGGCCCCCTTCGGGAGCTGTACGGGCTATAGTGAATAGCCCGTGCAGCAGCCCTTCGGTGCCGAAGCTAGCCGAAGGATTAGCCGAAGCTATGGCTAGATCCTTCGGCAGCTTCGTGAATAGACCCCACTGTCTTATATTTGTTTTGGCTCAAAAAAACACACTAGGTCTTATATTCGGGGTAGGTCTTTTTTTTAATATACAACAATCCACACTTATTCATATGGTGATCAGGGCAATCAGTGCCGTACCTTTCCAAGAGCAATTTGCTAACCAATCACTGGCCAGAATGAGCGAATCGCCCTTTCACTATGGATTCCTCACTGGCAGAGTGCATTTGGTATCACTCCGCCTGTGACAGGAGCCGGCGCTATAGAGGAGGCATCGGCTTATGCGGCTCTGCTCCCTCCGGTGCCCCCTCGCTTCCTCTAGTGCTGGCTTCGTCGGCACCGCTGATTCTCTCCTGCGGCTCTTCAGGTTCCCCCTTATGCCACCACCTGCCCTAGGAATGGACACAACTAGGTCTTATTTTCGGGGTAGATCTTATATTTTAGTAATTCCCAAAAATAGTACTAGGTCTTATTTTCGGGGGAAACAGGGTAGGAAAAGAAAAGAATAACGGCAGAATGAGACCAAGTGGTCCCTGGGGTCTCCCTCTTTAATTTTGTTTTTTTTATTTTTTTCTCTGAAAATAGATTTATGTTTATGATAAATATTTGATTTAATTCACTAAGGGGTCTATTCACGAAGCTGCCGAAGGATCTAGCCGTAGCTTCGGCCGATCCCTCAGTAGAACCGGAGGGCTGCTGTAAGGGCTATTCACTATAGCCCGTACAGCTCCCGAACGTGGCCGAGCGGCTCAGTCCAGCCGACCGCATATGCCTCGGCTCGGCTGAATAGGCCGAACACTAGCGAGTAGCCTGCCGGAGGTTCGGCTCAGCCGATCCAGATGTTGGATCGGCTGGGTCTATTCACTAAGCTGCCGTAGTCAGCCGAGTGAATGACCGACCTGAACTAAAGTGAGCCGAACAGTGTTCGGCTCACTTTAGTTCAGGTCGGTCATTCACTCGGCTGACTACGGCAGCTTAGTGAATAGACCCTTTAGTGTTAACTAACTCGCTGCCTCCGCTGCTCCCTCTTTCTCTTGAACTTTCCTCTTGCTAGTCTGAGGTCACGTCCTCATGTTCCCAAAGTCAAGCTCTAGTAAACCTTATTCCTACTCTTAGGGGGTTATTCACACAGCTGCCAAAGGCAGCCGAGTGAATAACCCAGCCGAAGTGAAGAGAGCCGGACTATGTTCAGTTATTCACTCCGGCTCAGTACGGCTGATTTCTGCTGTACATGAGCCGTACATCGGCAGCCTTCAGTCAGCCGTACATGCTCTGTATGTTCGGCTGAGACGAAGTGCAGAGGGACTTCGACTCAGCCGACCCAACATCTGGATCGGCTGAGCCAAAGTTCCGGGAGCTCTCTTGCTGCCGTTCGCCCTTATTCACATAGGTGCCAAACGGCAGTTAGTGAATATTACGGCTCGGCTATTGTGCTCGCTACCTCTGTGGTACCGAGCAGAATAGAAAATCAATGAAAATAATTGTGGAAAAAATAAGGTTTAAAAAAATGTAAATAAATAGTAATATTTATAAAGAAAAAGAGATATTTTTTTAAAAGAAAAAAAACAATTGGGCGGAGCTAGCAGTGACAAGCTAGCTC